TACAAAATATAGCCAAAAGTAAAGAAGATTAATTCAGAGCAAGGGACGGATGTTGAAGAAGCTCCTGTGGGAAAAATAACATGAACCCAAAGTGCTTGTAGATTCTCACTGTGAAATTGGTTTTTTTTGAAAGCTAAAACTTAAACCTTTGGACAGTTAAATAGAATCTCTGGAATTCATAATTTAGTTTATAATCTCACTTTGCTGAGAGGCTGTTTATAAATTCATTGTTAACGTAAAACCCAATATTTAGTTCTCCTTTTGGTGCGTCTTTACAGATTTTGAGTTTCAAAGCTTATTGCAATCTATTAGAAATTTTCCAGTGACATTTAGTTTCAGGACACATCCTAAAGTTTTCATTTTACCTAGTTACCAAAATATGGCTGAAATTTCCCCCTTGGATGTCTTTTCTGCATAGAAAAAATAAGCAAGGTTATTTCAAGGTAAATTAAAAAGAGATTAATTAGTCCATATAAAATGTTGTGTAGATGCTCATTCAGAATTAAAGCAGCCTCAGTGAAAATTCCACAGCAGGTTAAACTAAATTAAATCAGGGTTACCTTAGTTCTTAATAAATGACCACTCCAGCATTTAGCACTGTTTAACTGTGCTCTCTAAACATATGCATCTTCTAAGTGGGCAGTATTCCTCCATGTCTTCATTCAGACAAGTCTGATAAGATTTAGTCTCCAAGTATTTGCTTAAAAGCCAACTTCAGGATAATGGAATGACTAATAGCAAGTTGCTGGAAGGCCTACATATACAGGCTTGGTCCTCACAATTCTGACCAACATTCTGACCATGAAATGTTGGGACATTCGTGTATATCCACAGAATGGAGGATGTTCTACATGGACTCTCCTGCAAGCAGCCCTAGTGCACAGTTCATCCTGCTCTAATGCTGAATTCTTGTACTGGAGTGTGATGAAAATCTTAATGAGAATAATCGACAGAAACACAGGTCTTGTAAATAAATGAGAACAGAGTTTTTACAAGAAATTCTGAAACTTCTCAGAGTGTCAGTTCCTTCTAAGGATATTCTAGCAAACAGCAGACTTTCTTATGTCCAGAAAACAACATAATAAATATTAGTGATTTATTGCTGAATTCTGGTAATTAAATTCTAGTCAGTAGAGTACAAGTTCATGCTGCTGAATTTTTGGAAGAAACTGCTGAGAGTATATCAGAACCATCATATATCTGAGACACAGAGACTGGGTGGCGAGGAGAGCAGAGAATATAGTATCTGCAGCCCATCACCTGTCTATAGGTGAGAGCTACCTGCACTGCAGAGACAAAGTTCTTGCCTGCTCTTTTGACCACTGCACATTGTTTTTTAAAGTCGTTCAATGCTTCTGTATTATAGAATATTACCAATGTTTGTGCCTAATGAATTTGACAAAACTTGCTACTTTAGAATGATGAAAAAGATCATGTTTTACTCCAAGGTCTTCAAATGCTCTAGAACAAAGGAAAAAAATGAAGCCATCTTACTCTCTTTCAAAATAATTATATGTGTGGGAAAAATCTCACGCATTGCAGTGCGGACAAGTTTACATTCTCTCAGCACTGAGGAAACCTCCTTCATAGTCTCCCAAATGGCTGTCATATCAAACCTCACACCAAATAAAACTTTCTGCTTTTGCAGACTTGGAAGTCATCTTAACTTTGGAAAATATTACTGCACAGAAAGTGCAAAGGACTGAAACAACCTCAGTAATAAACCAATTCCCACATGGTTTTTAGACATATTATAAATTCACCCCCTGCAGTTGCTGAGGTTTTCATGTGGTGATTAATATGTAGCATTGAATATATATTGATAGTATGATGAAATGATGAAATGATTGCTCTTTATTCTAGAAAATATATGAGAATATATATTGTATTTGAGAATCTCTATCATTGCAGAAATTAATGAAAAATCTAGGTGAGGTGCTTTTCCTTCCATCTTCCTTCTTGCATAGCGTGTTCATATAAACAGTGTTCCAACTCTGCTTAATGTTGATTTCAGTTTTCACAGAAGTACAAGTTCTTTAACTAAACAGTAGGTATAACAGTTCCCTCATTAAGTAAAGTTTCAAACCTCTAATAATGTATGAGGGTAGATGCACAAATTATGTAAGTCTATTTATGACCCATCTACAAGGAAGTTATCATGACTGGTTTGGTTTCACTTGACCTTGAGAGTAATCCACACTCTATTCTAATTAAAATAAAAACCAAACCAAACATGTGGGAATAGTATCAGTTTAATGAATTCTTACTTTTCATGCTCTTGCAACACAGCCTCTTTATTTCTGCCACATTTGCACATCTGTGGGCAGTAAAAACGTCAACCCCTTCAACTCACTGTATTATAAATGCAATATACATTAGTTCCAGAGTTTTCATTCAAGAGGGCAGTTGGAAGGTAATTAGGATAAATATAATGAACTTTTGATCCATTTAGATTTTCTTTCTCTGATGTTAGCCTTGAAAAAAAATTCAACATGTAGAAGTGTACAGCTGTTCATATAAAGATTATGGTAGATAATCCTCACTAGAGAGTTGAATTTTTACTCTCCTTAAATTTCATTCCAAGAGTCAAAAAACCTGCTTGTGTGTGCTTCCAAATACATTTGTTAAAAGATAGAAATAAAAATGAAGTTCCAAGAATTGTCTTTTTTTTTTGCTGTTGGTAAATTTCATCCTCAGTACAGGTGTCAACTATGACATTTAGGGGAGGAAAAAGAAGAGGAAAGCATTCTAATTAATTGCTTGCAGATCTACAGGAGAGTGAAATTTAGTGTCTACTGCACGTTGCACCATTATTTATGAAAGGTACAGTAGTGCTTAAAATTCTGTTCAAATGTGGCCCATTCTAAAATTGCAGCTATACACAGCTTTTAAAATTGCTTAATCTTTATCTGATTGCTTTTTAATATCAGGGAAATGTTGAAGAGTTCTGATGAAAATCTAAGAACATAGGAATCTCTTCAGCTTTTGAAGGCTGACTGAAGATTTACTATTTAAAGCTTTAGATTAGCTCAGAATGTATAAATCCTTTTCTACTTTCATTTATCAGAAAAATAAAATTAGTACTCAGTGAACTGGGGAAAAAGCATTGTCTTAATCTGCAAACAGAACAGGTGAAAGTCATCAAGTTCCAATTAAAGTATACATGACCTAGGACTTGGTCTAAACTTTTAAATTCTCAATTTGAGCAAATACCTAAAACCAACATCCAAAAGAGTAACTTTGATGTTCTTCTGGAAACCTTTTATCCATGGTCAGAAAAGTAAGTATTCTTTTTGGTGGAAAATGAATATTTTAAGAACACTTACATAATAAGATCTGTTTGCAAAGCCACTTATGAAGAACTGATTTTGCAGAGCTGCTCATGATCTGAGAAACATCCAGCTGAGAAAAATTTCCCAGTGATAACTTACAACTGAATTAAACAATCATCATAAGTAATGTAGATGAAAGTCACAGAAACACAGTTTTTGAATGATGGAAACTTTCTAGGAGGGTGGTGGGCAAGACAAAGTCCAGTGAGAGAAAATTTGTAGTACATTTTTGTTTTACACTAAATTTGAGGTTTTGATGCATAGGAGAATTCTTTTCTCTCCTGGCAAAATCTTTGGTTTAATGTACTGGTTATATATTATGATTAACATTTCCTGATCTATAAAAAATTCTGTGTTATTAAATAGCAATAAACTTTTGACAACATGGATTCTACCTTCTGTATCTGTCAGTTGATAACATAATAATCAAAATGAATAAAAGTGTATATCTTATCTATGTCTATATCTTATCTATGTCTATATCTATATCTTATCTAGTCTATATCTATGACTCCATATCTCTGTGTAACTGATTAAAGAAAATAGGATTAAAAAAGTGAAGCTGTTCTTTTTTGTAGATGTAGTTGCCCTTATAAAACAAAGTGAGCCATGTGTGCAAATACTTTTGTATAATACACATGGTAACCAATCCCAGTTTTATTTAGCACTTAATTTGTACTCTCTATTTCTTGAAAACAAATTGTTCTGCACTTGTTTTATACTTAGGTATCTTTTTTTTATTTTTCTATTATTTTAACTTTCTACATGTGGATAAGTAGATATTTCTAAATAAATATATGCATATAGCTGCACATATGTTACACATTTTATATCATGATTGTAGGACTCTAAATCATTCTATTTACAGTAAAGAAGTCAAAAAAACATATACAAAAAAATAATCTGCATAATTAGAAGTGAAATACTTTCCTCAGTAGGTTAAGACTACAAAGTTGCATTAAGAGGAACCATATTCATATGTAGCTCATATTTTCTGTGTAAACCAGTTAGATGTCAGGTGAGATTAAAGACTTTGATCCCTGTCCGTCATGAATTAATGCAGTTCCACTGAAGTCACAGCTATTAATTTAATCTATACTAGTCAAGAATCTGGAATATATATTTCCTTTTGCGGTAAACTAGTAAACACATGATTACACAATGGAGGGAGATTTTCTCCTGAGATGCTGATCTTTATTCACCATTTTTGCTGGAGTGGAGTGGAGGCAGAATGTGATGGGAGACAATATTTATTAATGTGGGAGAAAAAAAATTTGAACATGTTTCTCCCTATGTGACTTTGTTACGGAAAAGATTTTTTATGAGGAGAAAATATTAATTTTTAACACTGCACTGCTATATTAATTACAGAACACTTGTTTTATAAGGTAATCAGATGAATATATGTTTAAAAATTTAGAAAGGTGGTAAAGCAATACCATTTCAGCAATTCATTCTTCACAGGAACAAGATTTATGGATTTGATTTGCCTGATTTGCCTGGCTTGTCTCACATCTTGCTCCATAGACTTGAATTAGAAATGTGAAAATATTGCATGATCTCCCTTAAAAAAAAAAAACAAAAAAACTACCCAAAACCAACCAAACAAAACCAAACAACAAACCAACACTTTCCTGAATCCTTTACAATAAAGAAAAAATCATGTACCTGATGTCAGGTTTTGATGTCGTGGATCTTCTTTTACTGGTGGGACATATTAAAAAAACATAGATAATAAATTAATCTACAGTTTCAAGTGAAAATACTGAAATAAATTTCAATAAGAAATATGCTTGTTTCTTGGAATCATCTCTCAGATAAGAATTTCTATAAACCAGATTTTTTTAAAAGCCTGACTATCTTAGTAAATAATTTAAACAGATACATTTTCTGTCCAGTATAGCCATATAAGCAAACTGCTCCTAGATAGTAGTTTGGTGAACTGGCGCCAGTGCTATTGCTATCCTTTAAGGTTTGAGATTTAAACGTGCAAATTTTATGTGCAAGTCATTGCATTTAACCACTGTAGAGAGGATATTTATGCCTTCAATCACTTACCTGATAAGATACTGTCATGTATTGTTATTAATTATGTTTAGAGGTATAACAGAAAGCATTTCTCTAATTGAATATTACTGTGAGGAAACAATCAAGGCAGTGCTGTGAACAAGAGGTTAGCCAGAATATGGGTGATCATGAAGTCGGTCTATTGTGTATCACTGGAGTTATTTTATGGAATGATGCTGGTGACCTAAGGCACCAGACAAGTTCTGGAGATGCACTTTGCGCTCCCCGATCAGGGAGCACAGGAGCAGACTGGGAGGGCCCTGCTGATCCTGGGCTGCAGTGCTGGGGGCTGCACAGGTCCCTGCTGTGCCAGCCAGGGAGGTCACAGGCAGGGCACCGCAAAGGTGGCACCAGACATTCAATTACTGGGGATTTGTGTACAATTTCATCATTTTGGTTTGCTTGCATGTATGTAGAAAGACTAAAAAAGATCCTCTTTTTAATCCCATAAAATCCCCCAAACCTGAATGTTTGCATTTTTATAGCTGTTTGCAGAGATTTTCATCCCTTTATTACCTTTAGGTTTTTCATCTTTCAGCTGTTTCTTCGTAGTTGTTTTTTCTACAAAGAAAAAGTAGCACAGTTAAAGTTTGGTAAACTGACTGTTGAATAGATTTTACCTAGAGTTTTCAAGTAAAATTCTTTGAGAATGAACGCAGATATTTTAGGGGTTGCCTCAAACATGCAAATTTGCAATCTCATACTATTTTTATTGTGATCTTCAACATATATATGAACACACAGAACAAATTCCTACCTTCTTTTTCCTTAATTGTCTTTGGTTTTTTTGTGGCTAGAAAGATTTGAAAAGGAATAACATTAAGTGACAGGCATCAGAAATCCAGGGCTTTTACAGTAAGTACATTGTGCAAAGATTGTCTCACTGGTAATTTCCCCGGAAGAATTAATGTGGTAAATGTGCCTCATGGCATGTTTACAGTGTCTGTAATACTGCAACAGTGTCTGCTACACTTAGTGGCACTAGCAGTTCTGGGCTTTGTGTAGAGTGGTTAGAAATTGTTTGAATATTGCTGCTTGCAGAGTAGTTGAGAAAATCCTGATAAAGACTTCAGCACTTGAATTCTGAAATTCCCTAACTACTGCCAGATTTACTTATTTGTTTGTTGCTAAAATACACTAGGGAAGGACTCTGCCTATTGCTTGCTTCTTACTCTTTTTCCCAGAGTGATCTCAGACATCTGAAAGAAATAAACAAACAAAAATCCCCAGGATACAGAGCTAGATGGACCTTTAGAACTGCCATATGTGATCATACAGAAGTCCTGCAGCAATAGATTGTGATTTATTTTATTGGGGGGTGTTTTTTCCTAGTCTACATTCACTTAGAGCATGTGCTGTTTCCTTTTCTGCATCCTTTTTCCCCAGCTGCAAAAGCATTTGGTCTGTGACTCCATTCAACCAATCAAGGCAGATTGAAATTAAGCAAAGTATATCACTTCAGGCACCTGAGCCCTTTTCAGTATTCCCTGTTGACTACAGCAGAAAAATAGCTGGCTGTCTTCAAATGGTTCATTTGCACTTTGCATCATCCAACCAGTTGTAATAATGCTTCAGTGTCCTCTGGCACATGTGTCACTTGATTCACACCAGCTCTTTCAGTGAGGACCACCTGGGTGTAGCTCACCAAAACATGCTGCAGAAGGTGAGCAGTGAAAATCACATAATCAGATGGAAAGAGGAGCCTAGGCAGAGACCTGTGTAGCTGCAGGGCTGTCACTTCACCCATGCTGCTTTACGTTATCACTGTTCCTTGCTGATGAGCAAAGTGCATTAATCAACACTGGTGTGTTCATTACTTCTTTCCATGAGGCATACTGGAAAAATGCAATATTTACCTGATGTTGGGATTTCAGCTGTTGGCTCTCCAGGAAAATAACCAGCAATGAGGAGAAAGGGGGCAGGGAAGGGAAAGGAAAGAACAAGAATTTCAGTACCATGTTTTTTCAGGGCAAGCAACCATTTAAATAGATGATCTCTTTCATCTGCAACTTTTCTGCAGGGTTTTAATTTACAAACAAATGTGCCTTAACAATGGCTGTGTATGCAGAATTTCACACTGAAAGCTAACAGTCTCACTCTTTGAAGTGCTATAATCCAGCATACAACATACAATTCCTGCAAATGCAAACACTGCGCCAACCAAAGCTTTCCAGCAAGCAAATATTTAAACAGACTCATTTTTAAGTGTGCCTTTAAGGTTATAGCTGGCTATGCTATTTTCCAAAAAATGTATTCAGGTTAAGTGTTGCCTCTCTTTTCTTGTCATCCACACTTCCCATCCAAAGACTGACACTGACCTTGAATAGCTGGCATTGACCCTTAAGTGTTTCTCCCACATTTGCAGTTTGACTTGCCTTTTAAGAATAAAATCTCTTGAGAGATTTTGACTAAATCTTTCCACACCACTTAGCACAAGAGAAGCATACATTCCTGTGCTATTATAATATCCAAAATAATTGATGAAAAGTGGTCAATCCAACACATAGAAATTCTCTGGTGTAAGTCATCATCACTCATTTTAAATCAAAGAAATTAATTACATTGTCATTTTGAATCCAATAATTTTTTACCCATCACTGCTTTATTAGTCCCACTTTTATGTAAGAATAGAATTTGAAAGAAAAAGAAAAGCCTCTTTTCTTAGAAGTTAGAGCAGGACAAAAAAGAAATGAGATCACAAAGCATTTAAGGGTATTCCTTTGACTGAGCTTTCTCTGTACTTTCTTCCTGCTGAGTTTTGGCTTTAGATGAGCATGAGCTCACACCAAGGTGAAAATGTTTCAGTCAATGCTTTTTCCACAGGAAGACAAAGCAATTAAGCATCATTTTCCCTAATGCATCCCAGGAAACTTTCACTCAAATCTTGGCCCATAAGGAGACCTGTAAATGTCAGTGCTCAATGCTTAGGAACCACTGGCATTCAACAAAGGCCAGTTTTGCTGCTATTAAATGCTAACATGCCAAAGTCCTTTCATATTTACCTTTTTGCTTACGATCTTGCTCATAGCTTCCTAAAGATGACACATTACTGCATTATGACCCATGGAATAATTAATATGTTTTTTTCATTTTCAGAAGAAAAAACTAAGACTTTTTCTGAAGTACTGAATCTAGGAAAGGGCTTTGTGCTCTCATTTCTTAACTGAGTGTCTCTCTGAGGGATCTGGATGGGCCCAGTTATGTGCATGTACCCTAATTTAGGATTAACTTATTTCCTTGGACAGTCAGGTACAGCAAGACTGTTGACCTGGAGGGCAGTAGGTTTGACCCTCTGTTGTATGAAATGTAAGGGCCATTTCCTATTCTCAATGCATCAACAAACTTTGACTTACTCTGAGAACATTGGGACACATATTACTCCTATTATGGAGCTTTCATTTTAAACCTAAGTGGGAATATAATTTGCCAATTCTTAAGGTCTTTTTAAAATATCAGCCTACATGTTCTCCCTCTTGACTGCAAACTACAGTTTGGCATTCCTGCATGTGTAAGAGCTGCCAGCAGCTTTGTTTTCTGTTCAAGGTAATGTCTCACAATTTGTGAGTCTTTAGTCAGTATGCAGGGAGTTAATTCTGTTTCATTACACATTCAAGTTTGATGTATGGTCAATGGCCATCAAAGACCCTCCTGAACACTAAAATAGAAAGAATGAAAAATAAGATGATTTACTAATTGCTTTTAAAATTGAGTGAGTGGCTCTGTGGTGTATACCTGCCTGCAGCTAAGATCATGGCAGTAAGCTCCTACTCTGAAATTGTCTGTGTGATTAATTTGGGTAGTTCTCAAACTCAGCCTTGTCTTTCTGTTTATACCTGCATTCCCTAATGACCCAATTTCTTTAGCAACTAAAACTACATTTGCTTTTACAATAAGACTGAACAAGATTAAATGTGTGAATAAATTCAGTCCAGGATAAATATATTAATTTATTTTATATTCCACTGCACCCGAACTCCAAAATCAGTGGGTATTTTGTGTCTATTGCTCATACTGAATTACATGACAGCTACGTTCATGTTGTGGTAAGTACACTGCACACCTGGCTAAGAAATACATGAAGCAAAGCTATATAGACCTCTATAAATAAAGAAGGCAGTGATCCAACCAAGTGCTCCTTTAAGTGGAGAAAATCAGTTTGAAATGGACAGCTCTGGTGTTTAAAATCTTCAGCTTGATCTATTCAAGGATGGTTTACTCAAAAAGGGGCAGTGTATAGAGAATTACTTTTGTAAATAACCATAGGTCTGCTTGTTTCTGTTTTTTTCCTTTTTTTTCTTTTTTCTTTTTTCTTTTTTTTTTAACTTTTCTAAAGGTACTGTTAACCTTTATAATCATTTCAAGCAGCAGAATATAAGCTCAAGAATGGGGTACAAACAACCCTCTGCAAAGGTCAAGGGAAAATATCCTGGCTATTCCTTATATTCACAATATAGCAGGGTAATATAGCTCTCGATAAAAAAGCATCGTAGACAGTGATTTTTATGATGAAAGCATAAGGAATTAGTCACTTAAATCTGTGATGAGCTTCTAACAGTAGTGAGTGCCATCACTGGGTCTCTCAGGTAAATCATTGCAGAAGACATTACGTGTCAGTAAACAGATCCAGAGAAACCAAGACTGAGCAAAAGTGGATAATAGAATCAAATAGAGCAAAATTTTATTAAAATACTAGCAAACATGGAAATAAGCCCATGGATAGCTTCACAGAAAGTAATATTTTGCAATAATAACTAAAAAATGGAACATTGCAGTTCAGGGCTGAAGGGAATCCTTCAGTGTAAACATATTTCAGATACCTTGTGCTCACACTTCCACTTTACATCTGGGTTTCAGAGTAATTCTGTTTTCCTAAAGGTATTTCAGAGCAGGATTCATTCTCTCTAACTTTCAGCACCCAGCACAGGCGACTGGCCTGGAAAGTTAAAGTGAATCACTTTGCTTTGCCTTGTGGTCAGCTTACTTTCCACCAGAATAGCACGTGGTTTGGTCTTGAAATGCCAGGCACAGCACCAAAAAGCCCCCACAGATCCTGTGCTAAAGAGGCAACAACTAATTCCTCTGTGAAGGTCCACACTTCAGCATTTTCACAATTCAAAGCACACAGTACAAACACTGTCCTTCTGATTCTTGTCTGATCAGGCTTTTCAGTATGTAATGTGCCACAATAAGCATAGATCCCAGTCTTCATCTGTTCAGAAGCCTTCCTTAAAAGCAACCTTAAAAAGGACATTATCCCATGTCTTCAGTGGAAGTTTTTTGCAATGTGAAAAATTGCCCTTGAATCCTCCTTAAAACTAATCTAAATTGGAAATATTTCTCTTCTTTAATTTAATTTAGGTTTTTTTTTATTAAAAAAAGCTTTCATTGGAACAAGGCCAACAACATGCTTGGTGAATTAATGATGTAAGTAATTTCCAAATGGTAAAAGAATTAAGGAAAAGGTTGTCTAATTCAGTTAGGCTACATGCTATTTTCTTGTTTTCAATAAACAGTATATTTGCATAGATATAAATTATACATCTACACTCATCTAAACCCACTAGAATATCAGTTTTGCTACCCGTGTAATTTACATTATTTTCTAGGGAGCAAAAATTGCAAACACAGTTTGAATCTTGCATCTTCACAATATTGCATTATAAATGTGCTTGATTTTGTTGTGTTTGGCTGTCAGCAAGCAGACAGAATACAAAAGCATCTGTAAGAATAGGCAAGAAAATAGCATTATCTAACATGAGAAAATTGCAAAAATGCAAATTTAGAGAACATGCATCTGAAAAGAAGGTTTATATTCCATAAGAAATAAGTCATTACACGTACTTGCAGTGTTTTTTGGTTTGACTGGAAAGTAAAAAGAGGAAAGAAAAATGGTCAAAACAGTCAGGTTTGGCATAATATTGTTAAGGCAGAGAACGGCTTTATTTATTCTAGATGTTTCCATGTATCAAAACACATTTTTACTAATCTCACAGCAATTAACAACAATCTAATAATGAATGATATTAGCAGGGGTGTTCTCATTTATGGACTGAAATTGTTTTGCTAGAGTTAAGGATGAATAATATTAACAATAAAAATTATAATTCTTCACTTATTTCCTTTCATGAAGAAGCATGGAGCAGGCATGTTTTAAACCCATGATGACAGTTCACAGTGAAACTGAACAATGCTCCTTCCTGTACCAGCATCAGTTTTGCTCTGTCATGTGCAAGTGCAATTGTGCATGAGCTGTGATATCAGAGACATTTTCTACAGATCATGGATTGTGCCAGATCAAGATCTAAATACTATATCATATAATACCTGCAATGGATGACAATTTAAGTATTGCTTTTCCTGGGAGGTTAACTGTTTTCTGAAGTCCAAATGAAAGGCAGATACCCCCAAATAATTAGAAAAATGGAACCATTTAAAGTAAGCAGTTTCAGACACCAGTTCAAACTCTTTGCAGACGTATGCCTTTGACATCAATGGAATTACAGAGGCAGAAAGTTGACCTTTGATGTGTACATATATCTATATCTTAAAATGACTACCAGCATTACAAGTATGTACTGTGCTATTTAGTTTGTGGTATGGCATGTCAGGGCCATTCTATGTATCAAAATAGATCACAGGCCAATGGTTTTGACATTTGTCATATGCAATTATATTTCCACTATTTCTTTAAATAACATTTTCAAAACAAATATGCAAAATAAAATGCAGGAGTGCTTACCTGGTTTTGTAAGGGGAACATCTTTTTCATGTCTGATTGCTTCATGCTCTAAACAAAAAACAACAGCATAACAAAATTGCCATAATGTTTCTCAGTTACATTTTGCACTTTATTTTTTTTTTGGTTAGAAGAATTGAATGTATTTTTTTCAGGATTAAACATTCCCCTTCTCTTGCTTCATGCTGTTATTTTGAAAAAGGAACCCACAAATGAATGGTTATTAAATGATTATCCCACTGAGGGATCTGCCACAAAATAGCAAAGTTCATTAGTACTGCACAAAGCTTCACAAATATAGCTATTATTAATCTACTAAGAGTCATGCATGTGTCTTAAGGAAGAAATATGTTAGTAGGGTCTTCTGTAATTTCTTAAATGTAATTTTTATCCATTTTTAATTTTTATTATTAGAAAGAAGAGTGCAGAGTAAACTCAGCAACCATTCACTCATCCTTTGTTCTTGATTCAGATATACTTGAGCAGAATTCCCAAAGTCTTGGACACATAAGATTACATATGAAGCAGTTTTTGTTGTTGTTTTTTTTTTTTTAATAGGTCTAACAAACAAAAGTCAGACTTAGGAAAAACCCCACCACACAGATCTCATAGCACAGTAGCAGCTATACAATGGGAACTGCATTTTATGGGGCTGTGGAATCAATGGACAGCTCTCCTGGCCTTGTTTCCAGGTGAAGTTCCCGCAGCTCAAGGACTCTGCATCACTTTTCCTTTTGAGAAATGAGGACCCAAAAGCATGCTGTAAATTGGAAAGTGCTGAAAATGTGAATGGCCTCTGAAAAAAGGGCAATATGCCTTAGCCTTTCTGCTACTCAGATGAATAATTGAACTGGTAGCTGTGATTTCAGGTGGGCAGACAAGTTGAGAAATGCTGAGATGAAGACATCATAAGGAATTTCAAATGGGAAACACTTTTATGAAGCATGAATGAAAAATTGGTTCAGTGAAGAGTGATTCATTTCCCACATCTGGACTTTTTTTGATAATTTAATTATTTGGGCAATTAATTGACAGTTTACATTATTACTATTGTAGTTGAATCTGCGTTCTGAAGGTGTGAAAGGTATAGAAAATCAATAAGCAGGCTGTGTGGTAAGTTAAGGTAATGACTCTCTTGAATCCTTTTAGACTGAGAAGAATTCATGATGCAGTTATTATTAATTTCTATTTTTTTCTTTAACTTAGCAGGAGCATTCATTCAAGCCAGGTAATTTTTAATAGTGATTTTCAAAAGACTTTAACTACTATATGAATTTTTGTTGATAGGACTTTTGATAGGGGAAGTGTGGAATGAATTCACTCCTGCACTGAAGCAATTGGTTATGTCAAATGGGCTTTTAAATAGTAATGACAAGACAGTATATTAAATGAAAGGAACAGGAGACATGGTGATAAAGACACTATAATTTTAAGCAAAACTAGAAATTGCCAAGGGCATGCTTTCTTCTGTAAAAGTAAAAAAAGATCCATGTATCCAACAATTTTACAGGATTTTTTCTAATTAAGGTAAGAATAACATACTTGCTGGCTTTGCCTGGGCTATAGAAGATAAAAGAGATAAAGTCGTAATAGTTAGATACTTAAAGAAGAAAAAATAAACTCTTTTTTCCCCCTTTCTTTTTAACATTCAAGCATTTTATTGGAGTCAGTTCTCACTTGTTCTTAGCTTCCCCTACTTGTGCAGGCATGCACAGCATTCAAACCCCTAAAGTTCAGACAGCTTTGTGCTGACTGCCAGTGATGATGAGAATGTTCTAATTCCTTGTCTGACACTTCACAGCTTCTAGAACACTCATTGTTACTTGACTTTTTTTTCCTGTCGACATTACATTAAAAAACTATACTCTCTTAATCACACATATGACCCAAAGATTTAGAGTTTAGTCCCAAAAACATTTTCTCCATAGCACTGGTCCAAAGTCCTAATCCATCTAGTGATTTATCCCCATATTTAGGATTCTTTCAGAGGTCTGATTTACAGCTAGACCTCACTTCATTAGCCCAGCTCTGGCTAATGACAGGCTGGAACAAGCAGCTAAGGAGCTCAAAGACCTTGACCTGTCTTCATCATTGGAAAGACAATTCTTAATAGAACAAAAGCTGCAATTTGCACTCTGTTGGTTTTACTTTGTGATCAGTTACATATTTCAAAACACTGTAAAAAATATTGCAATGCAAACATACTACACTAGATGAGTGCTGAATAGTTGTTAGTACCCCCCTCCTCCTCCATCAATCAGGGGGGAATCACTTATTCTTACCTGACTTCTCAGTAGGAGTTGTCTTTTGTTGTTTCATTTTCTCCTCTGTATCATGAAAGCAGCATTAAAATCACAATGTGTTAGCACAGGTTCATATAATTGGAAATATATTTCTATAGGTGATATTATGCATATTGTTCACAATGATAAAATAAATGCATGTCTTCACCATCATTATGCCATTATAGCACTGCAAAACAGCATGCGGGTATTATGAGTTCTGACTGCATGGTGAGATCATGTTCATGGAAAAAGTAAATTACCGGGCCTAATGTCTCAGCTGCCAGAAAGCAGCTGCATACCCTTCAGCATCTTTCAGGCAGGCACTCAGGTGGAAGCCATCCTATTCCTGCATCCATTACTCCTTTGCCAACAGCACCTTCCTGAGTGTCTGAGTCCAACAGCTTGGTATTAAACAACACTAAGAACTTCTAAATATCTTCTAGAACTTGAAAGACTAACTAAAAACATGGGTGGAGGTATTCATGTGTCTACACTCTGAAGATGGAAAAAGGTATGGGGATGTCCAAGCACATAACAGAGGGACACATGGGACACATAGTCTGAAATGCCAGTCCATACCACCCACTACTGGACAAGCCTACCTCAACCTAGCTGGACATCTGTCACAAAAGCAGCCTTGAACTTCTGCTAATCTCATGGGAAAAGCTGCCCAAGCCCACGTGGTCTTGAGCTGCCTGTGGATTTGCTCAGCACAATTCTCAGATGATGTAGACCCATGTCAACATCGGCCACTGGACCTGAACTTCCTCTTCTCCACGTAACTTGGTGGGATTACACTTTCTGATTAAGTGGGGTTTGTTTTACCTTCCCAATGCCCCAGTCAGGTGGAAACTGGGATGTTTATGTTCAGATTTCTGCTCTGCCCCATTTGGTTGATTTCAAATTCACCCTACCTCATCCTTTTATAGCTCAACACCATTTTGTGTCTTTTTCCATAATTGAATTGAAGCTCCCCTCCTAAACTCTACCTTTCAACAATCATATACATTCCTAAATTCTTCTTAAATATGCTTAAGACACAGTCAGACTATATTTGCCATTCCTCTTGCTGAAAGCAGTTTGCAGCCAGTGCCTCTTTCCACTGCCTTCCTTTCCACTAAGACTTCTGGAAGGCATCAGATCAAGGATGACAATGACTGTGTGGAGATCAGATTGGGCAGACATCTCTTGGCCCCCTTCTCTTGCTTGTTTGGTCTGTTTCTGGAAGAAAATCAGTACTGATGGGGTCAAATATAGGGAGTGATAAAGCTCTCTGGTTACTAATGTTTTCTATTATTTGGTAATTAAACATAGCTCTGCATTGCTATGCTTTTCATTTGTTTTCTGGTATGTGACAATTTAATTTCTCTTGATTTGTATTAAATTTAGGCACTATTATCGCCCTTACTCAGCTATTGTTACTGTCAGTTTCTTATGAAAGCCGTGAATTAAAAATCTCATCTCCATATTATGATTGTCTGAGCTAGAAATGTTTTATAGCACAACCAGCAGCTTGAAGATGCAACTTATTGAGAGAAAGTGTCCTTTTTTCTGCTGTTATAGGAGCTTTAATATATAAAAATCTATTTCACTAATTTAGATTGGGACATTAAACTTTCTATTTGACAATACAGAAGAAAACCTGGTATGCTGCCTTTAAATAATGGCCCTGTAACATGCCCTGGATTAATGACAAGTAAAAACAAAAGGGGTTCTCTTTCTTTAGATTTTATCCTGACACTTTTGAGCATGAAATAATATATTTTTCCTTTGCTAATTCTGTTGAGAATGTATGGCAATATTTGCTTTGTAACTCTGGGATAACAAGTCTGTGAGGAAATAAGTAAGGAAATAAGTTTGTGAGTGGATTGCACATCTGATTGATTTGAAAGTAGGGGCAGTGTTTCTTCTCAGAATGAATTTCTCTTGAAACATGGACAGGCCTGTGGATTTGCATTCATATGGGAATAAACACAGTAACTCTTGTGGCTGCTTGCTTTTTCTCTGCGTTTCCAGCCGCTGGTTGTAGCCAGAAGGGAAACTGAAGGAGTAGAATATCCAGACTTAAGGAGAGCTATCTTAGAAGGGAATACACTTCAAGACATCAGGAAGCTTAATAAAATAGATCTGTTCACCACATTCAGTATAAGGAAAAGCAGAGAAAAACAGATGATGAGGATAATACATATTATTTTGCCAAGAACAGAAGTAATAGTTCTAAATTTTCCTGTATTCTTTTTTTTACCATATCATGGGGAGTCTCCCAAATAAAAAATTAAACAATTTTGAGGTCTTCATAAAGCTACAGAGAGTAAAAATATAAATGTTGTGAATATTAAAAAAATACTGGTTTTGAGTAAGCCCAAAGTTTAAAGTTCTGAAATCCTTCATTGAAGAGAATTTATTTGCTCTGCAGGGCTCCAGTTTTGCAGCACTACAAGCATTAATATTAATTTTTTCCCTGATGTACCTAATTTAAATGGAAAAAATAAGGCTGTAAACATTTCTCTGCATATTGCAGGCAGTTTCAGCAGAATTACATCAGGAATGGATTCCCTTGCTTTACTTGCCTCCACTGACATACACAAAACACTCTAATTTAAACTTTTCCCTATGGGATCAATATATTTTCTGAAATTCTATAGTATTTCAGTCATGTGATACTTCTAAGTCTGATGGCAGGAGGCGTAAGAAAAATGGTTTGAAGCTGCACTGAATCAAGGTGAAAAAGGAGGCCACTGTTTTGTTCAGAATGAAGCTTTTATAATTCAAGCTGTTAACTCAAGAACTCTCCTTGGCACACAGCAGGCAGAAGCACTATTACCACCAGTGCCTGCAGATTAATACTTCCAGTCATCAAGTGAAACTCAAAACAGCCACTGTTCTCCAAAGCAACCATTTATCATCCGAGAATAGAGATTTTACGCAAAAGGAAATTCAGCAAGCATTTTCCTATTTATTTTCCCTTCAAGCACCTAAGTACCAAGGGCTTGGGGTCTGGAGTGTGCTGTAGTATGTGAGAGTAAAATCCTAATCAGTCCAATACACTGGTTTGTGACAGAGTGCTCTGATGTTCGAGAATGCCCTACCAAGGAAATTTATTTTCCTGCAGCTATGTGGATGAGATTGGGCTAATTGTGCAGCAGGACTGATTTCATTTAGCAGGAAAGGTGAGTGGTCATGCCATCCCTCCAGGCAGCTCACTTTCTGACCACCACTGTGGCCACCAAGCTTGGATTCCTTGTTCCTGCTTTGGCTGAATTCACCTAATGCCTGAAACATTCTACTAGCTGTTATTACACAAAAAGTGATCAATGAGTTAAATAAAAAGCTTGGCCTATGTGTCTTTGAAAGAAGAAGAGAAATTTTTTTTCCCTATTGACTCAAAACCAATACACCTTCACTAAATCAGATCCTCAAGGCTTCCAGAAACCTGAAAATGTCTACGAAAATACTTAACTTACAAGGTAGAATATTGTACATTAGAAAAATGAATGAAAAAAGTACTAAATACATAGGAGAAGTTTATTTCTTAAAAAATAGGGAAAAATTAACGAAATAAAGCCTCCTTGCTTATCACTGAACACATAAGGTTTAAATGTTTAATTTGATCACTTATTCATGAGCACTTCATTTCAATGGGAAATTCAAACAGCAGCACTTCCAGCAAAGGTCAATGGGATGTGGATACTTACTTTCTAGTCCCCACTGCTTCTGGAGTGGGTACTGGTGGTAATAGTGACTCAGGAGTGATGTAAGCTGAGCATCAGTAGCTGAGTTTTCTGTGAGGTTACCCTCTTAATCTTATTAATTCACACCAGACCCAGCTGTGTGTGGATCCTTTAGGGCCTTCCTCCTCAAAAAACATGACTAGAACAGAGCCCTGGTTTGAAAGGGGGACCCTTTGTCCTGCTCACAGCAGCCAGGTATTACTTACAGTTTACCCAAGTGCACAGTCAGACCAGGATTAGTATTGCTATTCTTAGTCCAGCTCCTGTTACTTTCGAGATTCAGTACCTGGAGGCTGACTCTACTGCAGAGTGTGTACTCAATGAGATTGTAGCTTCTCATTTTTGGGGGGCCCACACTCACTTAATGTGATAACTAATTTACTGGAAGGGTTGAGAAGGGTTAATTCCCAGTGCACCTCCTTGATGTAGTGCAGGGCATTACAGCACTCCTTCCTCACACTCTGGGAAATGGGTTTTGCTAGTGCTTTTTACTACACCAGTGAGAAAGGTGACAAGAAGAGTCAAAAACTGTGACAGATGAATCCTTTTAGTTAAATGTCACCCTCATATCTGTTCCTCTCCAAGACACTGAAAAAACCCAGTGGCACAAAGCAAAACACCTGTGCCTAGCTCAAGGAAGTGTCCAAGTTTTGCAAACCACACATATCCTGATTAAGTGGAGCTGGGTGTAAGGGGAGGTTCCTTCACCAAACCTACCTGGCTTGCTCTGAGAAACAGCTTTTTCACGTTTAACACGTTCATGCTCTGCAAATAAGAACCCCTGTATTAGAAGGCTTTTTAATTTTTAGAAGATTTTAAAAATAAAATATTCCCATTATAGTTTTAAAAGATGACTTTGCACTACATATTCTAGATTTGAGAAGAATTGATAACTATATTTCTCAAGAAAAGATGTTGAGCTATTTTTTCCCTATAAAATTAAAATAATGAAAAGACTTTTTAAACTTTTTAATGTGGTTTAATTATTTTCTGTGGATTTTTGGAAATATAATAGAATTTATAAAATTATGAATTGCTTCTAGTACTAATTGTGATTGCTATCACTGATCTTCTGTATAGAAAATTTCTCCTTTATGTTTAATATAGAAATGATAGCAGATTTTATTAAAACAAAAGTGGGATTTTCTTGTAGAGAATGACAAATAAATGTTCAGTATTCTTCATAAAGGAAAAGACAAAAAAACTTCTCATGTTTCCCTTTGTCCTGGATTCGGCTGGACTAGAGCTAATTTTCTTCCTGTTAGCTAGTATGGGGATCCCATAAATATACTGTGAGGCACTAATAATAAAAGATATTATTCTGTTTTATAATAAATGGGTATGCAATTTTGTACTATTTAAAAACAGTGTGCTATCCAGATCCCAACATTACGATAGAGAAGATATTTCAGAGGCACTTTAAAAGTATGCTTAAATTCTGATTTGTAGCTCTGAAGTCTAAGCTGTGCAGCAGGTGAGCATTGCAGCATACCAATAAATAAATCTAAAACTTGGGCCAGAGACCTGGCAAGAGAATTGCAGAGATCCTTCCCCATCTGCGGCCCCCTTGATTGTTTCCCTGTGGGAAGCTGCCATGGAGACAAAAGGCATAGGTGGGTCTCAGCTGAATTGAAAAAGGGTTTCCATGCAAACTGGAACCTGTGAAACACACCTGGTCCTGCATTAACAGAGCGAGTCATTGAAAACCAGTGTCATAAGTCAAAATGTTGTGTGAGTTTGTTTTGATGAATTCCAGCTTAGGCTGCAAAAGCTTTGCAAAAATAAGAAAATACCTTCCTTCTGAAAATTATAATAACAATATTCTATATTGCCTTGGTACTTACTGTGTTCATGCGTGTTCTCTGAGGTAGCTAGAAGTAAACAAAAAAGGTATATTTTAATAATTTTGTAGCTGTGATGCAGAATTTAGTTCATTTCTTAGTGACATTTTAGACATATGAAATTTCAGTGAAATCTATTGAAGTGTGCAGCACTTACTTTGTGTCTCCTACACTGTCCACCCCAGATGCATAAATGGGACACATAGCTGAGGAACACAGGCACTCTGAATTCCTCATTTAGCCAAAATTTGGTACAAACACCCCTGGAAGGCTCTGTACCTCTTCTAAAGGCTGAGTCACCCTCACTAAATGCTGACCATACACCAAACCTAGGGAAACTACCTGGCTAAGCAAGGTGCTTACCTTATTTAGTGCCCACTAAGAGACAGGGCAAATTCAGACCATAAGGTTTCTACCAGACAAAGACAGAAAATGAATTTTAGCTTGAGTGAGGAAACAACACCTAGGGCAGTGTAACGATGACAGACCCTGACAATTGCACCTGCTCTATGAGGGCAATGAATTTCAGATGGCTTCAGTGATACTCCGAGAAGCAGAAAGACATTTGAAAATGTTCATTAACTTCATGAGGCCGCTTCTAATCAAAAGGATTTCAGTGCTGTGACTTCTAAACTTTGTGCCATTTCATTTTCTGTATTTTTCCAGAAAAAAAATCCCAGAGGAGATAAAACTGAAAACCAAATGAATACTTTCCATGGATGTTAAGACAATATTTCTCAGGTAAAGAAATGAGAGTTTGGCAGCTGTACCCAATGCTATTATTGGTTCTGCAGAAGGAAGCGAAATGTCAAGACCCAGCCCTCCAGCTGGATTTTTCTTCTTGACTTTTGCTACGCAGCTGTTGTTTTTGAGAGAAAAAAGGCTCTACCACCTGCATGTCTTCTGTGTGCGAGAGAGTAATTCCACAGAGAGATGCAGCAGGGCAGGGGATGAGCTGCCTTTGCAGCCCCAGCAGCACAAGCAATAAAATTGCTGCTGTGATCTCCCAGGCTGTGATTCACTGAGCTCCTGAGCTCCCCAGCTCCCGCTTGGGACAAAAACTGCTGTGCGTGTGGGTTTCTGTTTCACTTGTTTCCCCTGCAGTATAAAATCCACTCCCATTTTATATATCCAGTCTCTAATCCAAGTTGTTGGGCATTTAAGAAGACAGCAACTGGAGAGGGTAAAAGTGAAAAAAACTAGAACATTTTTCTGGGTAATAAAGAGTAAAGATACAAAGTAAGTGTATATGCTTGCTGAAAACTGAGGGATCAGAAACAGGAGTTCAAAAGAAAAAAAAATATGGACAAAGACACATTCATTATTTTTATATGTGTAAGTAAAATGTTTTGTAAATTTAGGCTCATTTAACACTGCAAAACCAACCAAAATGTAGTTCCCCAAGCATCATAAGCTGAGGCAAATTCTATTGCAATTAAGTTTCCATGAAATATGTCAGAAATTTGTAAAGGAAATTAATTTTTTATTGTGTCAAAAGACATAGTGAGATATGTTCAGGAAATATGAATTTAAATTTTCAAAAAGGAATTTCAAAGCAAATATTTAACCCAAATCTGAACATTATACCAGTAGCTAGTGTAATGACTTACATAACTAATACAGAATATTGTGCCATGTAACTCTTCCAGTAATCACCCATAATAATTAGAGCTAGGCCACATATGAACAGTGTTAATTTAAATACTCTCTATTGATGCTGCTTAGCAAATTTTACAAGAAAACTTTTGTAATAACATCCTTTTCTGATATCTGACTAAAATCAAAACAAAACCATTACTCCTTAACTTTCCAGTGAAGCCAATACAGTTATTTCCCCTTTTATGCTGGTAAATATCAGCCACAGAGAATGTTTAAAACAATAGGAACTCAGCTAAAGTCTGGTCCTTGAAGTTTGTGAAAGTATCTCTTGTCCTCTTCCATCTTTTCTGTGGAAGCATTAATTAGACAAATTTGTATAATGTGGGCATCACGACCAATTGAAGACTGAGATTACTGCTATCTGTGCTTTGCCTAAAACTCTAGCTTCCTTATTTCTGGCATAACACTCAGAGATATTTCTACCAGATAGTTCGATGAAATAATGAAGATATTCTAAAGTTAAATCTCTAGAATGTTGGTTATTCTAAAAAAACATCTATAGTTTTTCTAGAAAAAAGCCAAAACAAAACACCAAGGCGAAATTTTGAAATGGTATTTGGGTGATAAAAATAAACCTTTATGTTTTGCTAACTGTTATTTCAGTCAATTCAATATTAATGTTATCCTTCTTGTGTGTCATGATCTCATTAAAAAATGCAACTCAAATGACATATAGACTAAGCAGAGAGTTGGAAAATGAAATCCCAAGACCATTAGATTCATTTTTATAGTATCATGATTATCTATAGCATGAGTACCTTGATTTTTATTCTACTTAGTGAAAATAGCAAGATGATAGTCCAGGTCAGATTCTACAAAGTGTGTAATACTGTATGTAATTTAGCCTAAAGGGTGAGAAATTAAAAGCTGGGTTATGCACCTCTGGGAATCTCACCCACTTCATGTGGTATCTTGCACTAGAAGTGCAAACAAGCATTTTTTGTTTTGGCCACTGATGGCAAGAGGGTTTTGGGCTAAATCAACTCTTTGTCTCATTTCAAATGGATGTTCTGATGTCATTAGCTAACAGGACTACCTACTGGGCAAAAAAGTACTTATTGTTCACAATGGCAGAAAATTCAGTCCTAAGTAAGTGTTTTATCTTCATTTGTTTAACACTTAAATTGTACTAGAGGAGGTCAGATGTGAATCAAATGAAAACCGTTGGATTTTGATGAAGTACTTGAAGCTACATAAGAATGAATCAATGAAATTATATGGTTCTACTCCCAGCAAAAATTTGCAATGTCTTTTCTGCCATTCTAAATTAAACTTGGAAAACAGACTTCATAGATATCTTGCTGTTTTTCACTTCAATTTTTTTACTTGCCTGCAATTCTGAAGGCCACAAGGGGATTAATTATATATGGCATATTTTTGTAAATTAGATTCTGATACAGGTTCAGAAATGAAATCCTGCATTTTATTGAACCATAAATTGGTAAAGCTAAAAGCAGAATGTGCTTTTTGATTATAATGTCTATTTTCCATCTGGGTAACAGGTATTTGCCATTCAGACAGCAAATACCTTTGTGAGTGTGCACATTCTGTAAGAAAAGAATATGTTGTGCAGGAAATAAAAGCAATGACAGAAGTACTTGTTTTAGTTAAGAAAAACAGAATAATAACACACTGTGTAGCTGGGAAAAAATATTTCCAATTAGATAGTTACAGATGTATTATAAATAAGGAATTTACTTTCCATTAGACAAAGTAAGAGCCTGGTTTATTTCCCTTTAAAGATAGCACAGAGATTCTTTACCATGTTTTGGACTGGACATTGCATGAATACACAACACACCATGTTAAACTGTAATGACATTACATACAGGCCAAGAGAGAGATCAAGATCAACAGGAATCTTCTAATAGAACTATCAAAATTTGAAATGCATACCTTCCAGTTTATGCATCATGACAAAGCCAACATTTGTTTTCCCTACTTAATATGAGTTCATTCTTCCTGAACTACAATGAACTATTTGTCCTTAGGACAAATTAGTGGGCATTTCTCCTTCCAAATTTAACTTTCAAGAACTTTAGAGACCACATCATTGTGCATAATTTAAATAAGACAGTTTTGGTCTAGTTAGGTCAAGGTTTTTCAAACTGTAGCGCAACTGTATTATAAAAAAGTCAAACAGAATAAAATACATTCCTTATATGTCTCAGAAAATAAATTCAGAAAAAAGGGATTATTAGGATTTACCACTCTGTTAAGGAGCAGTTCCCTACATTTGTGAAGTTGTTGTCTGTACTCTTTGCT